GACAGGGTCGTCCCAATATGCGTTTTTGCAATTTGCATATAGGCAAAAACGCATAAAAATGAGAGTTTAAAAATGCATAGTATGCCGGAAGGAGATTACGAAGTCCGCAAAACACACTCGCTTTTAAGACTGCGATAAAACTGAATATTTGTCATACCGGCGTACAGCAAATTTCGCCTCCAAGCTCAACTGCGAAATGTGCGAGCATTGAATGTTCTGCAAAGGGTCAGCATCGCAGCTTGTTCAGTAAGCGAAATAGCCACTTAGCTACAATCATCCTTGAATTACTCCAGGTCGTGGTATAAGTGCAAATCGAAACTCAATTTAAGTATGCAGTTCTTCACATGCAAAGTAAATATTTTGACAAAATTAGAACTACTATTTCCTGCTAGTTCTCGAGTTGACACAGTGGCAAACACGAATTTTAACTTGGTCGCATGGTCGGTAGCTTAATTTGAAATCTTTAAGCTGCACAAAGAATATCCCTGAAAAGTTTCTGCTTTCTATCTTTTGGTTCACGAAATCGTTTCCTGCCAAAGAAATTTGCGTTTTCTTTAAGAGGCCCGTACACGAGATTTAGGCGCATGTAAACGAAGATTTTGAACTATGAGAGTGGCACAAGGGGTGGGAATATGCCACAACATTTCAGCTTCCCAACTTTCCTAGTTGTTGAGTTGAAAGTAGGTGACAAAGTTCACCCTCTTTCGAACATGCGCGCACACGCATGGGCGATCTCTCAACAATACGTGTTTTTGCGTGTGTGCATTTGCAAACACAAATATTTTGATGATTTCGGGTGTGCATATTTGTGCATGTGTATGTATATGTATGTGCGTGTGTATGTATGCAAGTATGTGTGTCTGTCCAGACATTCCAACTCTGCAACCAAGCAAGCTTCGGCGCTGAAATTTTGCCAGTTATTTCTATGCCAAGTGCCACCCCAAACTGCACGTCTGGGTCTCGTGTGCTAGGGCGTGAAAGTTTTAGGGGAAACAGTTAACTCGGAAACTAAAAAAGCTGAAAGGTTGAAATTTTGAGGGGACGTTCCCAGTCCACGTGCAACTTAAAGATTTCAAAGTGGGGCGCCAGAGCGCATGGTTCTCGTGTATGGCCATGCAAAAATTTCTGGCTGGACAATTACTGACTCGGGAATTCGAAAGCTGAAATTTTGGAAGGATGTTCCCTGACAAAGTACTGCGCAGTTGAGCAATTAAATGCCTGAACAAATTCTAACTACTGGAACTCCACGCGGTCTTACCACAGCGCAAAATACTGGAAAAAAGCATGATCGTATGGCCCCACCTGGCGTGCTTCATCAACGATTGCTCACTGCACAGCAAAAACGCAGAAAAAGTGTTGCAGAAACAGTTGAGCGCACGAAGCACAGCGCTGTATAAAATCAGCAATTTGGTAGCTGAGAAGCATTTGGACCAGCTATCAAAAGGAGAAGCGGCAGCATCGATGGGATCAAAAAAAGGGCGCCATAGAAAGTAGAGAATGATTTCTTGGCTCTGCAATAATCCTTCTTGAACGCATCTACATAAATCGGATCACCGCAGCTGACGATTATCTGTTTTTACCTGCCTAAGGCGTGGTTTTTGACGAGGAGCGTGAGGACTGGAAAACAGCAGTCATCATGTGACTTTTCTGTGTAATCACCTGCGATGTCAAGGTTAAACTGTTGCAGGTGTTGCAGTTGTAGAATGGGACAAATTATTACTTTATGTTGTGAGCTTGGACAAAAATACGCCTAAAAAGCTTGAATACAGGCCCAGGATTGAAATTAGGTCTAAGACAAAATTAGGTCTGAGGAGCGAATCCCCGATAATGTTACGATTGCGTTGTCAAGGATACTAAGCACTGGAAACGGCTTGTAACAAGCGATAGGAAATACAGGTTATTTACAGAAAGAAGCACATTCGTTTAAAGTTATTTAATAGCGATACAGTAGCAAACGTTACGGCAGGTTATCAGTACTTATTTTGGTTTTATTCAAGCTTTGTAACTGTACATTCAGCAACAACTCTTAAAGCCACTAGTTTTAAATTTTGTCAAAGTCAGTTACAGCAGTTTGATTTGCAAATTTATAGAAATGTTGCCTTTGAAAAAATCTCACCAATAACATTATGACCCACCAGAGAAGCGGTGCCAGATCCTGCACCTTTTGGCATTACCTGAATGTTCCTACATGCTGGGCGCAGCTGTAAAGAAAAATGTGTAATAATGACCTACTGTTAAGACACCGGAAGAGCGATCGAGAAACCCCTGGCAAGCCGAACAAAGCACCACCGCCCGGAGATGCAGTAACAGACTTGTCCAGTAGTCGAGTGGAGGACAAGGATTTTGCATCCGGCGAACCAAGCAAAACTTCAAAGCCAGGTATCACTAATATTGATTGGCTTATTTAGCATAAACAAGAAACACAAGCACCGTGAATTAAACCACTGAACAGCTCTGGTTGCTTGAAAGAAAAGTAATAAATATCAACGAGCAACAGACTAGCCGGTGCGATCATGCATTTTGTGCAGTTCGTCCAGCAAGCGATTGCTTGCTAATGATTTTCAGTACTTTGTACTTTAGCCGGTGCAAAAACAGTTGAAACATTGAAAAGTAGTTAAAAATTTCACGCACCCTTACAAGAAATCTCACGCATCGGCATTACCACAAAACTGCAGCTTTTCGGCTTTCAAGATTTCTGAGATAATAATTTATCTGGCAAAATTTTCACGAGACCGTAAGCGATAGCCGAGACCGCAGTAACGCTGAATTTGAGTTTGCAAGATCGTATGTAAACAGTAGGTCATAATCCTGAAATTTCAGATTCGTAGATTTCGTAGTTCTCGAGATAATAATTTACCCACCAAAATTTTCACGGGGCCGTTCGTGTTACCCGCGAGCAAGAAAAGGCTGAATTTAAACTTTCTGGGTAGCATGTGGGCAGGGGACATGTCCATCAAATTTCAGCCTTCTAACTTTCTTGGTTGCCGAGACAATAATTTTACCCGCCAAGGCTTTTGCTGGGCTGTACTTGTTACCCGCGGGTGCGGGAAGGCTGACTTTAAATTTGCGGGGTCACACGTGGGCGGGGAACGTTCCTCGAAATTTTCTGCTTCCTAGTTGTGCGTTTTTTGTAGCTATGCAATGCAAAAACGCATATTGTCGAGGGGTTGTCTGTGTGTGTGTGTATGTATGTATGTATGTATGTGTATGTGTATGTGTCTGTGTGTTCGTCTGTAACGACTTTTCATCTCGAGATCCATAAAAGCTGTAAGGCTGAAACTTCGGTAAATTAATCTATACATAAGTGCGGGCCTCCACCCTCAAAATGGACAATTGGTCCCGAGTGGTTCCCACTTACTGGCACTTGAAAGTTTTTTGGCGGGAAAGCGTTTTCGGGAGCGGCCCATGCTAGGAGGCTGGAACTTCACTGAGTTGTTCCCTGGCCGCGTCCAATCCAAAGATTTCAAATTCAGCCTTCACGCACCCCCAGGTCTCACTTACACACACGTTAAAGTTTAAACTGGCGTCATGCCAATTCCAGATTTAAGCTAACCAATAAGTTGCAACGAGCTGCAATTTTGCAGCATTACTTGTCGCCCATTGTTGCCTCCGTGAAAGTAAATTGCTTGTCAGCTCTTCTGCATCTCAAGTACGAACAAGTGAAATTTGACGTAACTCTGCAACCAGAGCAGCTGGAATGCTGAAACTTTCTAAGCGTTATCCAGGACCGCGTTTGAGCAACCGCAGGCAAAGGAGTCATTCACGTTTCAGCCACGCGTGAACGCGTGAAATTTGTTGTAACTCCGCAACCGAAGCATTCACAGCGCTGAATTTTTTGGGCATGGATTGGGAGTCATTGTAACATTTTATAACAGTCGTGGTGGCCAGTCTGCCGGGAAGAACGTGCCGCTGGCGAAAAAAACCTGCGGGAGAACTGTGCAAAAAACGCATCCTCGTACCGGGCAGCCGGCACGCTTTCGACTAAGTTTTTGTGGTTCCCGAGTTGAAAGTTGTGGACAAGTTGCTGCGGACACATACACATGCGCACACAGACAACCCCATGACAATATGCGTTTTGTACTGCTGTTACACAGCCCAAAACACATAATTATCTGAAGAGGAGTATTTCAGTCCACTGAGCCGCACGCTTCCTTTCTCAGTACTACAAGTGGAAAATCAGCGGCAAATTTCTGGAACCGCTATGATAAATTATTTCTTGAAATTACAGCTAATGGCGAATTAATTCGGCCAAATGTTGAGCCGCCAACTCTGGATGAGATGGTCAAGTGGCGCTACATTGGTGTCTTGACAAAGAAGGAAGCTGAAACTTTTGTAAATTATTCCACCGAATTTCGTCTTTACCACCAGTGGAATCCTCTTGTACGTTAGCGACTGGCATTTCTTACGAATCTCAAAGTCTAATATCGTTGATAAAACCAATACGGTCGTGTCTGAAGCAAAATGCGCACTTGGCGAGAAAGCATGTAGGATTACCATTAATAAGACTACGTAAAAATCAGTGCAGGAATTCGACGTCAGTAGTGTTATTGAGATTTTCCATTAGGCAAGATGCAGCTGCGCCAGAGCCTTCAGTCGGAATGCTTGTTATGCGTTTTTTGCAGCTATGCAATGTAGAAAACGCATACTCACGAGAGGTTGTCTGTGTGGGTGTGTGTGTCTGTGTGTTTGTGCGTCTGTGTCTATGTGTGGGCTGCGCGTATATACCGATTTTTCATCTCGATACCCATAAAAGCTACAGAGCCGAAAGAGGGGAACTCAATCTACATGCGTGTACGGACCCCCATTTCCGAAATGGGCGTCTTTGCTCGCGTGGTACCCACGTACGGGCCGCCAAAGTTCATTTCGGGTAACTTCCTTACTCAGAGACCTGATAGGCAAGAAGACTGGAATTTTAAGAGGATATTCCCCGACCACGTAAGTCTCAGTGAGCTCAAACCCAGACACCTGGTATGCGTGGTACCCATGTACAGACCCATGAAAGTTTTTATTGGGTAAGTTACTAACTTGGGAGTCAGGAAAGCTGGAAAGCTAAAATTTTAAGGGGTATTTCCTGACAATTCTAGCGAGCAGTCTTAATTTGTTTAGCTTGAAGCATTTGTCGGAAAAATGGTGCCGTTAGCGATTAAAACTGCGGGGAACTATGCAAACCCAGGCTGGAACGCACCAGGCGGGCCGGTGCGATTATGCGTTTTTGCACTTTTC